TTGGGCACTTTGCACTATCCTGGAAAGCCATAAAACAATTATCATGTATAAGAAAGAGATACTTAGATCATGATGTTGTGTAATTGTGTGGATGACATTTCTCTCCATGAGGAGAGTTTCCTTGGTGGTGAGAAGAATCAAATCTGATCTTTCTTGCATCCATACAACATACAACTTCATAGACTGCTTTTCAAATGAGGAAAGGAAAAAATGAAACAAAACCAAAAGCATAAAAACAAAACAAAAAGCAGAAGCTTGGAAAGGTGCTAGGGACCACTGAGTATCCTATCTAAGGAAGCTAAAATGTACTGTGTTTTTTATATATTCATAAGAATGAGAAATAACCCTGCTTACCTAGCTTTCTACTCAGTCCAAGGGTGAAGAAGGGATTGGAACAAGAAAGGAGGATGGGGGGGGGGCAAAGGAGGAGAGTGAATGGGATTTTCCCTACACTGAGACCACAATATTTTAAAAGAATCAGACAATTTTAGAAGGAAAGCCCTGGATGCTACGTGTAGAGGTGGATGCCTAGAGAAGGCTGGCTGTGAGAAACAGCAAAGGCTGCCTATCCCAGGAAGCATACAGCCTGGGTTCAGTGTCCTTTCATTGCCCAATATCCTAAGGTTTCTTGCCTCAGCAAAGTTCCTAGATGAGCTATCCCTTTCAGAAAATCATTTGAACTTGGCCCATCATCTTATATGTGGCCTGGGAGAGTATCAATCTCCCTTCTAAAAATTCCCATCAGTGCCACCTTTCACCCTATCCCAGATAAACACACAATCTAAGTTAAAATAGTATTCTATGCAAACTCAACTTCAGGTCCTCTAGTTCTTTCCATCTATATTTTACTCTATCCCAAACCCTTCCTAGAGAGAAATTCTTAAAGCTTTAATGGATTATACCAGCAATGATGGACATAGAGCCATCCCTGTCCCACTATTCCAAGATCTTTGTATGACCTTTGAATTTATTGCTCTACCCTCAGTGAGATGAGGGAACTCAGAGCCAGATTTAGTAATAACAATAATAATGCAATACGACATTTCTTATGCTTATATGGACTAGAATAAAAAATATTTACACATAATATAATAATAATTATTTAGCTTGAAATCTGTTTACAGACAAAATATTTATATCTTTCCCATAGGAATTTCATTTTTATTTTCTATAAACAGTGAAGTTATTTTGAAACCATCAAGCTCCTACTTTAAATGTGTCTAAGGAAAGGAAAATATTTTTGTACAGGGCTAGGCAAAGTCGTAAAGGAGAACAGAATAACGGTACAGGTCAGACACAATGAGGAGATGGAAGGCATCAGAGAGCATTCCATGGGAAAGGAATATTCCACCTGTAGATTCTCCATTCATAGAGCTTCTCCGCTATAACACAAAAAGGTTCCTTGTTCTTTTTTCACAACAGTAGCTACTGCCTGGTATTATGATATTAGTAGATATTGACTTTTCATATAAGTGGGATAAGAAATAACTCATAAAACTGCTAAGAAGGTAAGACAGAATGACGTTGTACACTGGAAATCGCTGAAACAGACACTAAAAACTAGAAATCTGTGGGCTAACTCTGGCTCAAAGACTTCTTTTTAAAAAAAAAAAAAAAACACTATATAGTCCAGACTGGCTCCAAATTTGCTGTCATCCTGCCTTAGCCTCCCATGTGCTAGGATCACAAACATGAGCTAGCATGCCCAACCCATTAAAAACTTTTTAATGTTCAGAAAATATTCATTTAAATTTTTAGTTAGATGCTAACAAATAAAGATCAAGAGGTTCATGTAAAAATTTGTGTCTTCTAGTTTTTCTTTAAAAACTAGGCCCCTGCTTGTTCATTTAGCAACAATCAGCTGGACAGAGAAACCGCTGAGCCCTTTAAACACCACCAGCTCACCACCATCCAGCACCCTTAGTTCCTATGTCATTTTGTCTGGTCTGTTTCATTCATTGGGTACTCAATGATCTCTGAAGGTATCTAAATTGGAGACCTCAAGCATTAAAGAAGTCAGAAATGATTAAACATGAGGGTATCCCAGTAAGACCAGAGGTCCTACATTAGACATCAGACATCAATCAGGCCTTCCAGTGAACTGCTTTGTTTCCGTTTTCCCTGCACGGCTGCACTATTTTATAAGGCAGATTTTCTCAGTTAAATGCAAACAATAGTGATTTGGTGTACATGGGTACTAAAAAGGCACTTGAAGAGCTGATTCAGATCCTGCCTCTTCTCATTGTACCAGAGCAAGCAGGTTGCTTTTAAATTAACGGGGTCTCTGTTTCCTTATTCATAAAATGAATGGGTTCAGCTGGAGTGATCATTAAGATCATTTTCAGTTGGCCTCTCTCCCCACTCTCACCTCCACTTATTGAGAACCTACTCAGCCCTCCAGAGATGTTCAACTTCCACCACCTCCACAAAACCTCTTCAGACTTCTCCTTTCTTAGAATTTTTGATCTTATCACCAACACCATCCAAATTAGCATTTACTAATTCTCTAATTGCTTTGCTTTGAGTACGTTGCTTCATTTACCACTTTTATACCAAAAAAAATTCCTTTAGAGACTATAAAGCTTAATTTTTAAGCCTCTACAGTATTTTACACTTAGCTGGCATTCAATGATTAGTTATTTAAACTGAATAAAGATACAGAAAATATGTATATAATGGTAACCTTCCCAAGGAGCAACTTTCATCAGACCCTTGAAACCAATTACCCTTTCGGGCAGCACAACTTGACATCTGATTCAGAAAGGCATAATGTGCTCTACTCATTATTTCTTCCCCATATAAAAAGTTCAAAGGGGGAAAAATGTAAATAAACATTAGCTCACTACAAAAGATCTATTACCCACTGAAAGATCTGTTACCCATTAAAATACAGCATAAGAAAAGAAATTATCTACCACAGTTAAGAAAAAAATCAATTACTAGTAAGGGACCACAGATGACACATTTGAAAACTACAGTGGAAACCACTGTTGTTCCTCCCCCACCCTTTGGATGTCATCACAAGTTCTGAGTAAGAGGAGACCCAGTTAGGAAGTCATATGGGAGGGGATTTACCCACCCTCACCAGAAAAGCAATGGGATACAGGTTTACATTGTTCTAGTGAAAGCTCCCCAGCCTCCATCTCCACAACTGCATCCATCTGATTAAGGTTTTAGAAATGTGGTCAGTTCTTCCCTATGGCAGTAAGCAAACAAGAGAAAAGAAGAATTTAAGTATAGGATTCCTTTTTACAATACAAGTCATTTGGATTCAAACTATTTCAGTAAGGTTTTTTACTTTTGAAAAACTGAGAAAACTAAGAAGTATAAACCCTTTGTTTCCCTTCTAAAAGTAAAATTCTTAATCCATACTTTGTGGCTGCCTTAATTCTCCTATTCAATGAATTTAAGAGACGATGTATTCATACTAAATTAAAGTTAAATTCACAAATGTTAATCCTGTCTTAACAAATTGAAATTAAGTCTATTTACAAACTATTTTCCTGTGATGAAACTCGACTTAATACAGGTGTTTCACTTAATCCATAAACTATGAAAACAGAATTCCTACTGAAATTTACATTGTACAAGTAAAATGCTTGAACATCTGACTTGAAAGTGAGCGTACCTGTGGAAATTTATTCAGGTGTGTGTACAGGGTGTGTGGAATCATTGAAAACCATAGCACTAATCCTATTTAAAACAGTGGGAAATGCTGATTAAATATAAATTCCTGGGGAATCCCAACAAGACACAATAAGGCTTTACAATCTGGGGATAACAATAAGAGTCTCGATTTTTTAAAAGTATTTTCTCAAAGTGCCTCTATGCGTTCAAACCTTTTTCTATGGTTTGCTTTTATCTGGTGTTTTTGATTACCCAATTAATCCATCTTCTCGGGAAGCCTATCTATGTAAACCTATCCACAGGTAGCCTGAAGAGAACTTTGTATGAGGCTTATTTCTTTAATCCGTCTACACACAGAGCATCGGGGGAATGGAACGTGTGCCCAGCCTCGTCACACTTACGCCCCTTTCTCCTCCTGGCCTTATCAAGTAAAATGTGCGGAACTCAAACGCAACCAGAGAAAGAGAGGTATCCACGCTTCTTTGAATTCAGGTCAAGGTCAAGTCTACGCTCCCTCTAGGACTCTTTAAAAGGAGATACCACCTAAACCTGGGTTGCCTCTCCTTCCTCCCTAAAAAAGGCTCAGTGCTGACCATAGGGCGAGCTCCAGAGAGCTCCTATGGTGTCACAACCAGGCATAGCGTGAGAAACACCTTCAAGTTCAATTCTATTATACCATCCCCACCACACAAAAGACATTTCAACCCTGTCAGGGTTTTGTACTTAAGTTGTTCCACACAGTCCAACACAACTCCTGAAGACTAGGGTCGACTCACTAATTTCAAGTTTAGAGTACCAACTCTAAACATAGGGCACTCTTCCAATCCCATCTGCAGAACCACCGCAGTGAACCTCCTTTTGAGAAGCTGTCGAGAGAGAAAGTCCTTACTTGGTCACTTGTCATGCCCTCACACGACCGGGGTGGGCGTCCTCCTCATCGAGGACCACCAATGCAAAAGACTCTGCCAACCCCCAAGTTTCCACTACTATCCTCCAAGGGGCGGGCTGGGACTTAGGTAATCAGACCTGGCAACCTGGGTACCCAGTTAGCAGGGGATGCCCAAATCTGTCTGGCCAATCGCGGCAGGTGAGCCAAGACAACCAGACGTGACGTCAGATGCGATTAACTCGGCGCGTCACCTCGACGTCAGCCTCCCGTCTGTCGGACGTCCCGTCCCGGGAGCAAAACTCCAGCGACTTTTGGCTCCGCCCCTGAGAGATTGGAGGGCAGCCAATGAGGGCGGCCCTGAGGGGAAAGCGGCCAATGAGAAGAGCCCAGGGCGGGGCGCGGGGGCCAGAGGGTGGGGCGGGTGTCGGCGGTGGCAGCTCGAAGTCTGGCTCCGCGCAGTATATGACAGTACGTCAGCAGCGGGATGGCCGTAGCTGTGGCGGCGGCTGCAGAAGCCCGAGCAGCCGCGGCCGCAGTGGAGGCTGGAGCCGAGAGGCGTCGGCGGTGGCACCCCGGGGAGTTTAAGATGGCGGCAGGGGGGGCGGCGGGCTTGCGGGAGGAGCAGCGCTATGGACTGTCTTGCGGGCGGCTGGGGCAGGACAACATCACCGTACTGCATGTGAAGCTCACCGAGACGGCGATCCGGGCGCTCGAGACTTACCAGAGCCACAAGGTGAGCGGGCGGGCGGACCGGCGGGCCGGGCTCCGGGAACGAGGGCAGCTCTCGCCGCCCGGCCGCGCTCCGCCTGCCTGGGCACCTGGCGCGGGGCCGGCGGAGCTTGGCTCGCCGCTGCTGCCGTCAGCGCCCGCGGCGGAGGGCAGGGCAGGGACGGGCAGGGTCGCTGACGCCGCGGTCCCGGGCCGCCGGAGCGTTGGGAGGCGGCTGGCGGGCGGGCGGCCCCTGGCGGCGGGGCCGAGGCGGCCGCGGGACTTTCCGACGGCGTCCGCGGGTTTCCTGGCTTGTTGGGTCCCAAGCAGGGAGCGAGGCCCCAGGGCGAGAAGTGAGGTGACCGAGCTGCCCGTGGCGGGGGAGTGGGGCGCGTGCCGCGTACCAGAAAAGAACCTAGGGGCGCCGGGCGCACAAGCCGTCCGCGTTTTGGGGGAACCGTGGACCTTCGGAGACCAGGACACGGGCTGTTCGCGCGAGGGTGAGGGTAGGACACGACTCGTACTCGCAGGGACTCGGGGGACACAGGCGCTTCGTGTATAGGCGGGGGTGAACACCGTGTACTCACAGGCCGGGACTCAGGCGCTCGGAGGACGAGGAGGGGGACACACCTTGCACTCTCAGGGTCTCGGGGACGCGGACGCTTTGCGTTCCCGGAGTCGCACCGCATCTGGGGCGATCACAAAGCGACACCGCATCCTGCGGAGACCTCAGAGGCACACACGCCCAGCGCCGGGAACGAGACATCGGGTTCTGGGGAAAGGAATTCTCGGAAGCTCAGCGTACCCGCAAGGCGCACGGCGGCCGGGACTGACTCGAGAGTTGATAGCCGAGCTGCGAGCCTGAAGGTGGGGCGCAGAGGGACTCTTGCCTCGGCCCGTGTTCCGGAGAGAAACCCATGGCCACACACACTTATCTAGTACAGGGAGAAGCTCATACGCAACTACAACGCAATTGGAGTTCAAACCCAGGAACGGTTTGGCGTTATTTAAAAAAAAAAAAAAAAAGAGAGAGAGAGAGAGAGGGGTACCAAGAAGAGACTGGCAACCAGGGGACACGGGGAAGCCATTTATGGACATGCAGTAGGGAATGTGGAGGAGAGAGACAGGGGTGGACATATTGCCCGAGGGAAGGACGTACCATATGGGGGACCGGTAACATTCTACTCACAGAGGAGAAAGTCAGAGGGAGGTACAAATAGCTCGGTCCATACCAAGAAAGCACTCTCCGGTTGGTCTCATAAAACAGTCACAGGGGCAGAGGGACGCCAGACCCACACTCACATCTTATTCAGATAAAAGTGGAGAAAAGAATTAACATCTGTTGAGCTCCCACTAGTGCCAGGCACCTTAAATGCATACAGAGAAGACAGTCTAAGTAAAGCCAAGGCAGAGGTGTGAGCATGGGCCAGCAGAGGTTAGAGCCCTCTTCTTCCGCCCCCCACCCCGCACACACAGAAGGCACACAGTTGAGCACATCTTGGGAAGTTTATGAAGTTATATGAGAGAGTATGTGTAAACAGCAGGAGAGATTCAGAGGAGAGCATAGTCTTAGGATGACTGAAAGAATTGAGTGGACTCAGAATATACACATCAGCACGCATGTGTTATGCACAGGAGAAGAATATGGTGAAAACCACCAACTTTATAGGGGCTGAGGATAGGGCACCAGGGAAGAGTGCGTGTACAGGGACAAAGACACCTTCCTACACACAGGGAATCCTAGTGAGAAGGAGCCTCAGGTATGACTGGGAGATCAGTGTACAGTCAGCAACAAAGATACAAAGAGATACAAGAACTATAAAACTGCCAGTAACTACTCTCAGAGATGCACCTGCTGTGAATGGACTAATACCAGCATGGAATGGGAGGCCCATATGGGGGAAGCTAGATACACAGGCACAGGGACTAAGGCAGGCTGTAGAGAGAAACTCAGCCCTGCAAGATGAAGAGATAAGCTTGCCTGTTACAAGGGAAGGGCTTTGGAAGGAATGACAGTGGGAAGAAGGTAGGTCAGGGAACATAAGGAAAAAACAGTCCTAAAAAGGAAGAATCAGAATCAGACCTAGAGGACAGAAAAAGACTGACATGTAGTGGGTGGGAAGAGGCATCTGTGGGAACAGTAGGTCAGCCAGCCAACTTGGGAAACAACAGGAAAACTACATTTGAACAGTGATATTGATAGCATATATTTGGCAGGGAGTTGGTGGAGTGAAAAGGCCCACATGAGAAAGGGAGATAGTAGTGCTCAAGAGGAGTGAAGTGACAAAGATGCCCACTGGTCTGCATTACCTCTAGGACCCAGGAAGGCAGTGGTGTTTGTTTATCTTTGAAATATGGCCTTCATTTCTCCATTCTGTACTTCAGTGTTTCATGCTTGGAATTAAGGTTAGAGTGCTTACAAGATCAAAAATTCTCTTTGCCAATCTACCACTTAGTTCTTTTTTTTTTTTTTTTAGTTAAAGGTGCTGAAATCCATGGCTTTGTTTGGTCTTAACTGCTTCTATTGCTTATTAATATTATTACTTTTTTTTTTTTTGGTTTCTAAAAATGCAAATTAATGGATCTGGTCAATCAGTACATAGGTAGCAAAGGGAAACAGAGAAGACTTTCTTTTCAACTCCCTTGACCTTTCTTTGTGTGGAGCCTGGTCAAACCAATCAGTCTTAGGGTTCCTTTTCTCCTGAAAAACTGGTGGTAGAAGCAGAGGCATGCGGGAGGTGAGAGTGGGATCAAATAAGCTGCCTAGGTTTTTGTAGTTGGACACTGCCTTGTTTCTTGACTTAGCCAACTCCTGTCCTCAGGCCTCACTGTCACTTCAGTTCAACTACAGAAATACTTTCTGGTTTTGTGCTGGGGGTACATGGCAACATTTACAAAGTTCTTACACTGTATCATCATTCTCCTTTATCCCCCCCATTCCTGGAATAGTTTAACAGGTTTCATTTTTCCATTCTCATACAGGAGTACACAATATTTCCACCATACTCAACCTCCTATACCCTTTCCTTATGTCCTCCCCCCTCCCACTGATACTAACCGCCAGACAGGACCTGTTTTACCTGCATGTTCTCCATTTTTTAAAAAAAATTCATTTTTGTTTGTTTAAGATAAGCTACACAGGGTAGTTTCATTGTAACATTTCCATATACACATGAATTATAACCCGAATTTGTTCATCCCCTTTATTTTTCTCCTTTCTGTTGTAGTCCCCTTCTTCTGGTGATTTCAACAGGTTTAAAAATTTCATATTCATTCTTGTATAGAAAGTACATCAACTATATTAACCTTCTTAACTTCTTTTTACCCTCCCTGTCTCGAATGTGACCTATTTTTCATAATATTGCTTGAATTTATATTAGGTCTATATTTCACATATGAGAGAAAACATGTGGTCTTTGACTTTCTGAACCTGGCTAATTTAAGATTATATTCTCCAGTCCCATCCATTTACTACCTGCAGATGACAAAATTTCATTCTTTTTTATGGCTGAATAAAATTCCATTGTATATAAATATATCAAAAACACTTCTTAAGGGACTTGGAAAAAGAAGCAGGAATTAGAGGGAAAACATCGAGCCTGACCTGATGAAAAGTGGGAAGACTGAAGAAATGAAGGATTTGGGGGGTGACTATGCACTTTTGGTAATTACCGCAGGATTCTCTGGAGTGTTCATCCCACAGATGTGCCCTCAGTGCTTCTCCTCCTGGCCCAGCCAGACCGGAGCTCCCTAGTGGGCACAGTAGCACTTGCCAGCAGCAGGCATCTGACAGCTTTTATCTTCCAGTGGTAGAATATTTATTTGGTCTTTTTCACCTTCCACTTGTCAGAAGAAAGGCTTATGACTTTAAATTGTACCTGCTATTTGGGAATGTGTTCACATGTGTTGGATAAACTGGAGAAAAGTTTCTGAGGGGTGAGCTTACTCTTTTGGGGAAAAGACTTATTTCTCACATAAAACTGCTCCCACATTCCTGTGCTAATATAGGAATCAAGCTAATATAGGAATGTGCTTGATGCTTGATGACAAATTGCTTCCAAGTGGCTTCACTGTATGCAAAGTGATGACTACTGCTCCTTTTCTTCTAATGACTTTCTAAGGGACAGAAATTTCAAAAGGTTAATTTGCTAAACTAAGCATCATAGTTGCTTTTTTTTTTTGATGGTACAATTTATTGATCTTTTTCTCCTACATTTCACACTTTTTGTGTCTTAAGAAAATTTTACTAGAGTATATTAATTGCACAAAGGGCTTTCATTATATTTCCATACATTTGTATAATGTACTTTGATCAAATTTATCCCTCTATTACTCCAGCAAATTCTTTTTTTCCATATTATTTTGTCCATCTAATTTATTCTTCTAAGTAGTCCACTTGACCTGAGACTTTCACGGACGTGAATTTAGGAATTTTACGAAGCTATGATTTAGTCAAAATATAGATCTGTGCATATAACTCAGGCAAATATAGTAAGTTGTAAGGGCTCATGGAAACAAAATCTTTAATGAAAATACTGAAATCTTGTTTTTTTCAAATCACAGATCTTCATAATGTTTCAAAAGATAAAACTGACTTACCTTCCGTATTCAAGCTTTTAATTTTTAGATTCTTTTTGGCAGGACTGGGGTTTGAACTCAGGGGTTCATGCTTGCTAGGTAGGCACTCTTACTGCTTGAGTTACTCTACCAGCCCTCAAGCTTTTAATTTTTAAAGAAGAGATCTTGGGAACCTTTCTAATTGGACAGGGGGATGTTGTGAGTTCAGGAATGGGAGTTATAATTGAAATAACTATCTTCTAAAAGTTATTTTCCACTCACTTTGAATATAGAAACAGTTTCAAATTGATTATATATAAAGTATTAACTGGAAAGTTATTTTCATGATTTGTAGAAAAATTCAGATGTGCTAATTCAGATATAAGACATCAAGCTTTTTAAAAATATAGATTATTTTGAATGAGGAGAACAATTAATAAATAAAATTATAAGTTGCAACCTTATAGG